AGTCACTTTCCTTTTCTTCGGTGTCTCCATTCTCTGACAATAGCAGCTGGTGCCCATTTTCCTACTAAGTGATTCACATTTTGCCACTTTACTAGAGTGCAATTAGCTGAAGCAGAAAAAAATGCTCACCGTAAAGCAGCTCGGCTGAAATTGTTACTCAGCTCTTTAACGGGACCCGGTGAATGTCTTGAGGTGTTGTCGTAGGCGTCGGTGCGAGAAGCAACATTTTTTTTTCTTTGCCTACAAACGTTTTTTCCATTTTACATTCAGAGAAACTGAGCATGTTCACTGGAACATGCTGCACTGTTTTTTGTCTACTGATTTTAGTACAGACCTGTGAAATGATACTGAAAGTAAGACAGTCTTTAAAAGGAAATGTATTTACAGTCAAAGCAAGGATCTGGCTTCCATTCCTGACTCTGCTTCTGACTTACTGTGTCACCTAGACCAAGAAATTCTTGAATGTGTTAGCATTCATGGTTAAGTATGGGGATAGTAAGACCTTTTTGGTTGACATCCTTGTGAGAGGAATCTATGGGAGGAAAATCTGATGGGTTGCACTGTTAGCATGAAAAGTACCTAGGTGTGCATAATAACACCTGCCTTGCTGATGCTCCCGCGTAGTAGCTGTCATTACAATTGTCAACTGCTAACAATCTATTCTGATATTTATGGAAATAGGGCAATTCTCTCTTCATGAAAAGAAAAAAAACTTCATGTTGAGGTAAAAGTGGACTTTTATGTTGATCTCTAGTAAAGGTACTCACTCTGATTATTGTGACTAGTCATTACTGTCACTGATACCACCAGCACAGCTCTGAAGTAACGAATGATGCCTTTAGCAGAGCTTTTCCTGTTCGAAAAGGGAGCATGAAATGTGTTCATGGATTATGAAGTATTGGCATGTTGTTTTGACCTTCTTTGGGTACTGGTAATAAGATGAGGGAAAAGTAACTTTGTGAACCAATTACACGTATGGATGGAATATAAAGAGTTCCTGGTGGCTTAAATGAGCTTTTCTTTTTTTAAGGCTATATACTGTAATCAGATGCAGTTAATTTTTGCACTCCACTTGTATATTGATACTGATTTAGCCAGTGTCAGCACTGTCAATATCATTAGTAATGTGGCAGGTAGATGGAAATATGAATGTGATTGCATTAATAAATTCTTAATATATTCAGTCTTTCATAAGCACGTAGCATTACAATTTATTCGCTATTGTTTAAGACTATTTTAAAGTGGGAGTTGCATATTGAAGTGCTCTGTCATTGTACCTTACTGCCAGCAGTTCCTGGCTTCAGGTCTTACTTAAATGAAGATCTGTGAAGTAAATTTAGTAGAGATGTTGAGATTTGTGCTGTATATTACATATTATCCAAGGCTTAGAGCACCCTATGTATTTTCTCTTGTACATGGGCATGGAAACGCTTCTAGAACCGATTAGTTACTCTCCCTAAAATTACTGAAAGGAAAGTTTGCCTGAGATCTCCCAGTTGTTAGAAGTGGGACAGCCCACCACAAATGGCACTGCCATCTATTTGGCTTAAAATCTAGTAAAGAAAAAAAACAACCCCACCAAGGCTTTAAAATAAATACTGTACGTTTTTATATGACACATGTTATTTCTATTCATAAACCTTAACTAAATTTAGATTTTTATTAATCCAAAGTGACCTAAAAATTTTGCATTAACAGCACAATGTGGAATTGGGCTTATTCTCTTTGAATGCAGATAAAGCCATCATCTTGAAAATAGCTCTTTCTGACAAAAAGGTGTTCTTTTGAAATAAAGTCTTATTCACTACATTCCTCTTAGAGTTAATGCGAATTTTAGTGCCTCTAATTTTAGATTGAAGTGAGGTCTAGAATAAAACCCACCGGCTGACAGTTGAATTTATAGATAGTTGTGAATATTTCAGGCTTGAATAATAGAGCTGTAGAATTTCAGACACAGAGAGGAAGAGAGAATTAAGCTCCAACTGTAGTTTTAGACTATAATGCAATGGTGTCTAGGAATTCTTCAGTCTAACGAGCTAAGTAGTAATTAGGAGGGAACTGAGGGAGGGATTTTACAGAGATCTAGCTTAGGCATTATTCCAAACGTTCAGCATGATAATTTGATGGTGGCCACACCTGCCATCCATATTAGATGGCTCTTAAATTACTTTTGTTCAGTAACGAAGGAGTGAAAGCCGTAGGTGTCTGTTGCCCACCCACAGCCAGTACCCAGCCTTGTCTCTGTTTCACCTTCCAGGGATTGAAAAAGTTTTTGTTCTCAGAGTCAGGCGCTGTTGTTTTCGCTTTTCCTTGGAATGGTTAATGTTTTAACTGCATTTGTGCTTTGCCAGCGTGCACCAAATCCAGTCTGTACTGTTAAAGCTGGCACCAAAAGCAGCTCTGGCTTGGTTAGTACCAGAAACTGCTACTTCAGAAGCATCAGCAGACTGGCTTTAGCCTAGGCAGCGCTGGTGATCAGATTTTAATGCTTGGAGAACTGAGATCGTATTTTGGTTCTGACTGCTTGGGGTGGGAGATATCCACTTTTGTACTGGCTAAAACAACGTGCCTGTGACCAGCTAATTAATTGCAAATGTGTTTTTCTGGAAGGGGAAGGGTGACATTCGAGCTCATTATTGCACAAATTAAATAAAAAAAATCAACAGTGGGAGTCTTACTCAAGAATGTGCCAGTTATGATGGACCGGAGGCAGTGACTCCTAGTGCTGTATTTTGAGACTTTATGTGTGAAGTCTCGGCAGAAGGGAGGTGAAAAGAGAACCAAGTACCTGTTTAGTCAATAAAAGCATCTTAGTGTGTGTGGAAAAATAGCATAAAAAAATTAGTTGGTAGTGAAAGTTAACTGATAATTTTAATCATAGCTGTATAAAATTCAGTGTCAGAGAAAGAGGAGAGACAGAGAGACACCGTGTTTTAGTACCATAATAACTCCTAACTCTAGTCTAAGATCGTAATGTATGTGAGAGCGGTCCAGTAATTATAAGGTAATAAGTGGAGTGGTGGTGTAAGTGCTCTAAATTAAAAGGGATTCGCAGAGCTGCTGTAAGTCAGTGCCGACCCGCTTTCTTTCAAACGTTGACTTGAGAAAAGTGCTTAGCCCAGAGTGCAAGTAGAAAGACAAGAGAGAGCTATCTATTAATTACAGCACTCATTAACAGTGACGGCTACAAGGCAGCAGATGCAGAAGAAAAGGCACACGCTATTGCAGGCTGGCAAGGGGATTTCCCCCCCTCCAGTTCTTGAGGAAAGGACAACACAAGCAGGTGGTCCAGTGTAATAAGATATTTTCACGGCTTTAACCTTCCCATTTCCTTGGTTTATTTGCTGACACCAGATAGCTTGCTCCTTCCACCTCCCCAAATAAGCACTGATTTTAAGTTTAGAGGTTGACATTTCTGTACATCAATCTGGCTGTTTTCCAAATTCACACGTTGTTTGTTTTCAATAGAATTGTGCTGTAAAAATTATAATTGAGAGGTCCTGACAAAGATCCATGGGCACTGATTTTAGGATGAATCCCATCCTAAGCAGATATCTTTAATGAAGGCTTTGATCTCAGTTACCCTCCTTGGAAAGGAAGACAACTCTCTGGATTTGTATCTGTCTTCCATTGGTGAATTTGATTTCAAATATTGAAGTAGAAATATATTTCAGTTTTTTATTTTTAAACACAAAGAGGTGGAAAAGTGAAGACAAGATCTCAAAAATTACCTTGGAAAGTTGAAGTCAGTCAGATTGTCTGGACTCATATGTTTGCTTTGAAAACATGAATCCATAGCTCTGTGTGGGTGGCCTTATGGGATAATTGCTTTTTTGCAGTTAATGTTTCTAGAGAAATGCTCCTAACTGTCATCTGTACTTTGGCAGCTTCTGAGAGGAAAATGCTGGATAGGCTCTTTGCTACTGGGGTCTCATAATCACAGCTGTAGAAAATGGAGATAATATCTGATTCTGAGCTTTCTAATTATTATTTTTGTCCTTTGTTCAACTTAACTTCAGATGTGTTTAAAAATAATAAAACACTTGGGGTTGGAAATAGGCAAAGATTTCTCCCCCTGTTCCCCCTGTAGAAAACGTTTTGTCGGATGAGGTGCTGTTTGGTTTTATTTCAGATGCTTTATTCTGAAAATGTGAGAACTGAGAAGACAGAATCTCACCTTCTGAAAGACAAAACTTTTGTGTAAAATTTCCTGTAATATATTTTTTTAATCCAAAAATGGAACACGTAAAATGTCAGATCCTATAGAGCTGCAGATATATGGGATAGTGGCATAGTTATTACTGGTTAGTCTGAGGATAATGGCTAGAAAGTAATTGCAGCCAGAGCTGATGAATCATTTCACTTAGATTTTGTGAAAATGGAGTCCAGCCTTAATTATTTGTTAGAGTTCCTCGTTGATGTGCTACTCCGTTACTAAATAGCTGTATCTATAATAAAGCAATATTAATAAAGGAAAAAGAAGATTGCAAGAGGCTTGCTCTTCAGTTCTGGGATCAGATCAATAGATGATGGATACGTGTTTTAGTCAAGTGCCTTGACAAATATTAATTATAGAGCAGAACATCTATGTGATCAAACTTGGAAATATTTGTTTCTGATAATGATGGAATTTACACAAAGGAAGTATAGATTGAAAAATGAAGACATTTAATAGCCAAGTCATCTTAATAGGATTTTTACGATTTTTTTGACTTGCTGGATGACAAGTTCAGAATTTAGAGTTGATGTGAAGTTGACATGTAGCCTAGAGGGCAGGTGGAGGGGACAACAGACGGATTTGGTCTCTTTAAAGTTTTTGTTTACTGCCTGTCTGGAGCTTTGACAAAGCTCTGTCATGCCCTTATGCTGATTACCTTCATGTAGAACAAGAAGTATTGACTAATGAATGAATGATGTGCAGTCCCTAACCCTTCCAGAGCAGCCTTAAAGAGCACTGTCTTTAATACACAGATTCTTCTTTCTCTCTCTCCCCACTACAGGCTTCTCTGCAGAATGTCAAGCAAAGATCGACACATTGATTCTAGCTGTTCGTCGTACATCAAGACGGAACCGTCGAGCCCTGCCTCTCTGACGGACAGCATCAACCACCACAGCCCCGGTGGCTCCTCCGACGCCAGCGGGAGCTACAGTTCCACCATGAATGGACATCAGAACGGGCTGGACTCACCTCCCCTCTACCCTTCGGCCACGGGGCTTGGGGGCAACGGGCCGGTCAGGAAACGGTATGATGACTGCTCCAGTACCATCGCTGAAGATTCACAGACCAAGTGTGAATATATGCTGAACTCAATGCCCAAAAGACTGTGTTTGGTGTGTGGTGACATTGCATCAGGGTACCACTATGGAGTGGCTTCCTGCGAAGCCTGCAAGGCTTTCTTTAAGAGGACAATTCAAGGTTGGTTATTCTTTAAACTTTCTTTCTCTTGCTCAAAATAAAAAAGGTGCAGTCTCAGACTGAATCCTGTTAGGTCTTCAGACTGTACCTTTTCGTTCTTCATACTGTGTGGTCCTACAGATGTTGGTCACAAAAAAGCCCCCTTGGGTTTCTTTGGGAGTTCTGTCTGTCATGTTCAAGACCCCTGCCATGTTTATTTTGGTTCTGAAAAATAGAAAATCGCTGTAGCTATCCAGTGCATGTTCAGATTTGCTTTTTGTGAGTTTCTCACGGATTCCCATAAATGATCGTTGTAAAGAAAGCAGAATGCTTGCTGGAGGTTATGTTCGGCTCTTGAACACACCTTGTGGCACGTGGGGATCGTGCTTGTGGTTTGCTCCTAGTTACACCACTGCCATACTTAAATTGTTACAGAAATCCAGTTTATTTTTGTTAAAACACCAGTGCATTTTAAATTGGCACAAATGCTTTGTGCATATCAGTGTATTAATAGCTGGTCTTTCACCCACTGTATACGGCGGCCTTATGCGGGTTTAACAAATAACTGTAAGATCACGTTCTGAGGAGAGTAAGTTGGCAGCTTTTGGTCTCTGCTCAGTACTTTGTACTAATCTGCTCTTGATACCTGTTACAAATACGCCACATATTTTGGCATAAATTAGTATGAATGGGATAATTTGCATGACTGCTTCTACTAGCTTCAGAACCTATGGAGACAAAATAACCTTCTACTTTGATTTAGATATCATCCTTTCAAGTAAAATTGAAGGTGCTTTATTTAAAGAACATGAGGCCAAGCTTGGCCTGTACAGGAAAGTAGTGTCACATTAAATTAAATTCAGCCTTCAGAGACTAAAATTAGGTTGCTAAGTCCAAATTTAAGCTCCTCAATAAAACCAGCTTGATTTTCATACATGTCAAGCACCTGGAATTCTCAGGAAAGACAATGGGATCTGATGATATACTTTTCATTTTAAAAATTAACATAAAGTGAGATTCAGTTCATTGTTTTACATAAACCAAAATTTGAAATATTTTGCCATGATTTTTTAAATATAGTACTTCCATATTTAATGTAAAAGTGATAAGGAAAAATAATGAATGTTATTTTAATTTATCCAGTGCTGAGGCAATGGCCATCGTGTTCTTCTTTCCCCCCTTTCACTGCTGGAGGGATTTGGGCTCTCTATGAGCATGAAGTACCCATTTTATGACGGCCATATAACCACTAAAAAGAAACATTAGACTTCAGTTGTTCTAATGGAGCTGAATGTTACACTGTTTGCAACCAGTAAACAAAGATACCTGTGAAGATTGATAGTGGTGGCCTGGGTTCATATGTAAAATGAGCACACATGTCGAAAACGTATGCTCATTTCAAGTCTCTGTTTTGGAAAAAGTAAAAAAAAAAAAAAAAAAACCAAAAAAAAAAAAACCCACAAAAAAATGTGTGGGTGATTTCACTTGACCTTCAAGAACATTTTCAGAAAAGCTCAAAAAATGTTTGCACTGAAGCAATTTGTATTTTGTGGTTGCTAAACTTCAAGCACTGATTTCAACCAGCAACTGTTTTTATAAATGGTATTTAATTGCTGTGTAATAGCTGTCCTACAGGACCAAATTGATGCATGATTATTTTAGTCGTATTTTGAGTATGGAAGAAAAATGCCACAGAAACGTTAGCTGATTGAAGTGTTGACTTCTGGCAGCAATAGGTAACCTGCAATTTTACACCACACCACAGACAGCAAGTTTCTGGGCATGGAAGAACAAGACAGGGACGTCATTCTCCAGATTAGCAACCTGGACTTGGCCATGCAGCTCAAGTTAGAACTGGCAGCTGTGCAAAAAGTCTCAGTACGGTTAGAGCAGTAGCTGCATCAGCAGGTGACAGTGCTGTGAAGACAAAAAAAAATAATGCAGTAAGGCAAAACCAAGCATCGAATGGAAGAGCAGGAATGAAGAAACTAAGAATAGGAAGTATGTTACCATCATAATGTCATGGCAGCATCTTCAGTAATGGTGCTGACTAGCCTGGCACCACTACTGAGAATTTTCAAATGCCATCCAAAATAATGGAAGCTACTTACTTTGGTGAATCAAACCATGAATTGTGGTAGGTGACAAAAAGTATATAAGAAAAAGGTGCTTCTTCGTGGTTTGAATGGGCAAATTCTACCTTTAGGCTTGCTGAGAGTAATTCCCCTGAGGTTTCTTTGCTGTAATTGATAAAATTTAGTCCCAATGTTCTGGAGGTCGTTCTTCCCTGTATCCCATTTTACTTCCTTATTCATATCACTTTCTTTTTCTGCTTGTTTTTAAGTTGATTGCTGCGTAACTGCAAATAAGAAAACAGGAAAACAGAAAAAAACCCAAATATAAAATAGAAAACCAGACTGCCTGAAGAGTCAAATACTGTAGCTGCATATGTAAGGATAATAAATCTCGGCTCAAAGAATTGCTTACTTTAAATGCAGATAACTTAAATGTGATGGGCACTTAATTATAGATGCAGTGAAAAAGAATGTTTGACTTCCCAAACCTTGCTTGTTGATCAGTTTACTAAGTTAGTTCAGATTTGTAGATCCTAAGTGCTGCTCCCATTGACGTCACGGGCACACCTGCTCTGACTTCAGTGGGAGGAAGGCTGAGCTGATAAAGTGAGATTGTGAAGCACATCTTGTGTTCGTCTAAGGCCCAGTGTCCCTTCCAGTGAGTCAATGGGAGTCTTTCTATTCTTTCCATTTCAGAGGAGTCTCTTGAAATATCATGAGGTGAGGGCCACAGGCAGCTGCTCAGGGAACCAGCACAGTATCTGTACACTACCAGCATGTTACATGAGAAGTGAAGTGTATCACACGATACCTGGTAGCCCCTACCCAAGGCAAATATCACTCTAATGTGGAGTATACACCTGTTTTTAAGAGTAATGGAGATTATCATTCCCTTTCAGATTCAGCAGTTTAATCTAAAAAATGTCCATTCCTGGATGATGATTTATCCTCTTCTTCTTCCTTGGAATCCCTGCTAATTTTGTTAAAAGTTAAGAAATTAAATTAACCTTGTTTTGAATTAGAAGGAGTAATTCTGTCTTTTTTGAATATATATATTTTTAACATAGGACAAAAATACATTTGGGCTTGTGGTAAAGAATGTATAATTATGATAAAAATCAATAATATAAAAAATTAGAAACAAGAAACTGCCTAAATAAAAAATAAAAAAAAACCAAAACACAAACCAAACAGAACAAAACCTACCAAAAAAGAGCTCAATGTATAAAATCAGTGTGTTCTTAGGTCACAGTAGAATCCAGTAATGTTCTGCCCCATTTGTGACATGTAAGGGATGGGAGAACTGGATGTTCTCTGCTCAGCCTAATACTCACTGAGCTGCGGCACTCAGTTTGCTTCTGGGATAATTTACATGGTGGCTGATTGCAAATGTCTCACAGAAATACACACACAGCCAAATCTCCCCAAAATTGGCTTAACATCAGGGATAGCAGAAAATAGCAACATCTAAAAATAGTTACAGGTCCATTGATTTTTAGGGTCTCTTCACAGTTTTTGCTGTGCACTGTATTATCTTGAAAACTCGCAAGCTTTCATTAAAAGAAAGAGAGGAAAAAAAGAATTTTCAGTTGTCAGCTGGGTGCCAAGTCTTGTGTTCAGCCCTGAGGTCTTGTACTTACTAGATATTTTGTAGTGAATATTTAGTGTAAATATATTTCTAATAATTTTTATTTGCTCAGTTATCATAAAGGCTAGTAAGTACACATTTTGCATTAATAATATGTAATTATTCAGTGTCTGTAACTTAAACATTTCAGCAAGTAAATTGCAATGGTATTCTTGCTTTCAATAGAAGGATGATAGGACTTTTAGATTCAAAGACAGTTTATTATGCTGTTTTATTTTAGCATTTGTCTCTCTAAAATAATGACCCACATCTGGAAAGCTTTCTTCCTTCCTCCTTCGAAATCATCAGGACTGTTGTCTTTGGACTCTTTAAACTAGCGTGAAAAGACAGTATGTAAAGCCTACGTACTGATATGTTGCCTTCGTAAGGCTTGTTGCAAAAGCCTCGAATTATTTCCTAGCATAGTGTTTGAATTTCCCTCACAAAAGCTCAAATAAGCAGTAGTCCTTGTAGTTATTGGACTCTGTTCAGGGTTTTTTTTTTCATATGTTTATTTTTAAAGGAAAAACTGTTGGATGAACAGTATTGAGGCAGCAATCTTCTTTTTATACACTGGGTGAGTAAAGCAATAGGTAGAAAGAAGCCCTGCAATCGTATCTTCACTGTTTCATTTAAGAGCTTCGTCCCTGAGAGCCGCTGCCTGTCCATTCCTCCCAACACAAACAAGAAATATTCTATCCTTGAGATACGGTTGTCTTTTTGGTCATTACGTGAATTAGACCAAGTCTGCTGTCTCATTTTTTGCTGCTCAGCTAAGAGCCTTCAGCTCTGCAGTGATGTCGTTGTTGTCTTCAAAGCCTGCCCAAACTGCTTTGTACTTTGTTCACCTTTTTGGTTACTCAAACTTGTTTTTAATCCCTCTAGTGTTCAGGTCTTTCAACCCTCTTTAGAGCATTGACCCATTACTGAGCCAATTTGATCTGTAAATGTAGAAACACTTTTTTTTTTTTTTTAATCAGGAAGTTTTAATCAGGAAAGATAGAACTAGCTATGTACATTCAGATAAGGCAGCATAAAGTTTGATTCGAAGTTGCACGTGACCAAAGTGACTTCCAAAGGGTATTTTGTGTCTCTGAAAGCTGACTTCTTTAATTCATTATTGTTGAGGAAATGAAAGCAAATTAAGCGAGATTTTATGGCTTTTCAGCATCTTTGCTGGTTAAGGTTATTGTTGTTTTACAGAAGGGTAGGGTGGAGACTTATATCTTAGTGCACTAGCCTGTGGACCTTGGCTCTGGTGTAAAGATGGCAGCCCTCCAGGGAACCTAACACTAAATGTCACCTGAATCCATCATTAC